ATTAAGCAAATATCAGTGATCACACATAAGCTATGATAAAACTTATACTTCATACCTCCATGGCTTTTCTGCTATTATTTCTGGTGTCTAAACAGTGCTGCGGCTGTGACTATCAAAGTGACTGTCCTGACACGTAGAGTGGGTGGCCAGGAGAAAGTGTGAGCTGGGACGTGGGAATCTGCAGTTGTATGATGTGGACTCTCTATCTCCAGATTCCTGACTGTCCTTCGTCATTGAAGAAACAGTCATTGCCTCTAGGCTAAAAGTCAGGAACAAAACAGGAACATGGGGTGTGTGTGGTGGGAGGCTGCTCCCGGCAGGAAAGCCATGTGTGTCCACATGGAATCCAAGTCCCTGTTGACAGCGCAGCTTTCTTGGAGGCCATGTGTTTATATATGTGGAGTGGGGTGGGGGAAGTCTCAAGATTAAGTACAGCTTATTTTGTCAAGAAATTCAGTCCTGTCACATGGAGTGACACTGCATTCTACAACTATTAGTAAGCATGTTGGTGGCTGTGGTAGAGGGTGAGTGACCTCAAAGTGGCCTTTGACAGACTTCAAAGGCTAGAATGGAAAGGAGCCTGGAGCACCCCCCACAACCACAAGTAAAGCAGCTGGGGTACAGAGTAGGAGAATGAGGCTTGGAAGAGACATTTTCTGGATAAACTCATTGCATATTAGTGGCTGTTCTAAATGAACAAATGTAAGGCACACATTGTCCCTACTGTGTCTACCAATGACAGAGCACCTGCCATGTGCCACTGGTCTGACAAGTGTTCCATATATTATGTTAACCTCAGTAGAGTTACCAGTTTAGTTCTGAAAGAAAACAGGGGTTCAGAGAGGTCAAGTGACTTGCCCAAGGCCACACATCACAGAAGTGACAGAATCAGAATTTGGAGCCAGGTTTTATGGGCTCCAAAGCTTGAACTTATTTCTCCATTCCCCAAGATAAAACCTCTGAAAGACCCCTCTTCTACCTCTCTGCTGTGGGTTTTAAATCTGCCTTTTTCATCTGCCCAGCATATTGAGGATCTGACTGATGGCTCTGCATGCATGGATTACAGCTATCACCCCTGGCACCGGCTCTCAGGTGAGAACAGGGAATTGACTTCTCTCTGACATCTGAAATAGAGTTACTCCTCCGAGTGTGTGCAGTAAATCTTAAACAGGGAGCTTTTCAGGACAGATGGGTTCTCTGACAAGCATGCCTCTGGCTTTGCCCTTGAAGCAGAGGGTGTGAAAATTGTCAAAGGTTTCCTGGCTTCCCAAGACTTATTTCAAATACCAGTAATCCAGGCATTTCACAGACTGCGGAATCAAAAGTGTGTCACTTTCTTTGTTTTTTTCACAATATGTCAAAAGACTTACGGATATGAGGGTTTTTTTTTTTTTTTGGTTGGTTGGTTTTTTTTATGTGACCCTGCCAAGCATTGTCTAATTTCCTTATTTTGTAGCCCATGAAACCCAGAGGAAGTCCTCACCCTGACCTCAGGACCACACAGGTCACTGGAAACAGCCAGCCTGTCTTGTAAGATGGACTCAGGAAGGCCCCACCTGCTGGGCCACCTTCTTTTGGACCCTCGAGTCTCTGGCTCCTAACCTGTGCACACTGGAATCAAAAGACACGGAGCTTTCAAAGGACACGGAGGTTGGACTCCCCCCTAGAGATCTGATCTTGATCTAGGGTATGGTCTGGGCATTTGGACATGGAAGTGCCCCAGATCCGCTGACGCTGGAGCGCACGCCTCTGAACTTCACAGCCTTCCCCACACTCCGGGCTTCATCCAGTTACACCCCAGCTCTTCCTCCACACCTTGCATTCCAACGCACGCAGATCCCGCGTGGCTGTGGCACCCAGGCCCCCCGGAAAAGTCCGCCCCGCACGATCCCCTGGACTTACTTGGCCTCCAGGTTGGCAGAATTCGCAGGGGCTGGAGGAGCCCGGTGGCAGGAGCCCCACGATCGCAGCTGCGCGACGCCGGGCCAAACGGGAACTGGCGGGGTGGCAGCGGCGGCCGCGCCCTCTGGCGGCGCCGGGACCCTGGCGGGCTCCTGGGAGAGGGAGGCCGGGGCGGAGCCCGGGCGGACAAGGCCCAGCGGCTGGTCCCCCGCAAAACCCAGTGCACTAGTGGCCAACCCCACCGCGCAGCGGCGAGCGGGCAGGCCTGTGTGAGCCGAGCAGTGGCCCTGGGGATCCCGCCGTGGCAGCTAGGACAAGGTCTCTGCGAGCTAGGGCCCGCCCCCTAAAAGTGCCACCCAGCACCGGCAACCAGAGCCAATGCCTGGACACCACCGGGAAAAGTCGCCGAAATGGGACAGGGCTCCCCACGAAACGTAGCTAGAAGTAATCAAGCTGTGCAACTGGGCGCACGCGTTCTAAACGTCCTAAAGTCTCAGCTTGTCGCCCTGTCCGCCCTGAAATTCTTGGCCGTATACATTTTCTATCCTTCTCGTTTACTATAAACGACTTGTAAAGGGATTTTAACATGCTCATAAATTTCCCCCAACAAATCTAAAAAGTAATTGTCACTTTTTCGCACAAAAGAAGTACATGCAATCACATGATCACAGATGTTCACGAATTTGAAAATTCTCATCAAATGCCTTCCGGGAAAAGGAAAGTACTTTTCCTAACCCAAAAGTGAAACTGCAAACAGAAAGGACTGCAGTACTTGTGTGGGCACCAAAGTGAGGACTAGGAACCCAATTCTTCCCGTTAACCCTCACAGGAATCTCTGATAGAAAAAACCCATTAAGACAACTTTCTTCTAGGAGTCTGAACTTTTTTTTTTTGAGTGGTGCTGGGGATCGAATCCAAGGCCTTGCAAGGCAGTGTGCTCATGCCAGCCTTAGGATTCTGAATTTTTTATGTCCCTTAACCTGTCATTTATGTTTTCCATATTCCATTTCTCCAGTTGTATTCTGAGTAACATTCTCAGTAAGCTTTCCTTGTGTCTGTCAATGCAAGAATTATTTTGTAGATGTTTGAATCTGGTTTTTAACCACCTGAGGTAGGCAGAATAGTGCCTTCCAAATGAGCTAAACCTGGAACCCATGAACATGGCAAAGGGGAACTAAAGTTGCAGATGGAATGAAGGTTGCTAATCAGCTAAGCTTAAGACAGGAACATTATCCTGGTTATTGGGGTGGCCCCAGTGTATTTATAAGAGTCTGAATAAGTGGAAGGAGGCAGAAGAGAAAGAAAAAGCAAGATGGCACCTGAGAGGGCTTTGGACCACACCTCTGGCTTTGCAAATGAAGAAAAAGACTATGAGACAACAAATGCAGTCCTGACAACAGTTAGTTTTAGCCCATGAGACCCACTGTGGAATTCTGACCTCTCGAATCCTACAAAATTTGTAAATTTGTTGTAACTCATTTATAGCAATAGCAATAGAAAATGAACACATCTAAGTTCTTAATTTTAGTAGTAATATACTTATTTTTAAGGTGTTTTTAAGCTCTATTTCAAGTTTTCTTATTCACATTTTTTTTGGCAGTACTGGGGTTTGAATTCAGGTCTTCCTAATTGCTAGGCAGGTGTTATACTGCTTTGAGCCACACCTTCAGCCCTCTTTGGTTATTTTGGAGTAGGGTCTCTTGCTTTTTGTTGTGGTCTGACTGGAAGGTGATCCTCCTTTTTTAAGCTTCCCACTGTCACTGGGATGACAGGTGCAGGCCTACCATTCCCAACTTTTTCTGTTGAGATGAAGTCTTGTGAGCTTTCACCTGGGATGGCCTTGAAACTTGATCCTTTAGATCTCTGGCTTCTGAGTAACTAGGATTACAGGCATGAGCCACAGATGCCTGGCTTTAAAATACAAAATACAAAAACAAAACAAAACAAAACAAAAAAACAAACAGCAACAACAAAAACAAAATCTGGGGATTCACCCCAAGGCCTCATGCATGGCAAGCACGTGCCCTACCAGCAAGCTACATCCCCAATCCCACTGTTCATATTTAATAGTCTCCTGTTCTTTATTGAGTACACCATTTAAAAAAAAAAAAAAAGGGCTGGTGGAGTGGCTCAAGTGGTAAGAGCACCTGCCTAGCAAGCTTGAGCCGTGAGTTCAAACCCTGGTGCCGCTAAAAACAAAAACAAACAGTTTTTTCAGACAATTGCTTTGTGTTTATCTTTAGAGTTTTTATTTTGAGACAATTATAAATCCACATGCAGTGGAAGGAATAATGCAGAGATTCATGTACCCTTAACCTAATTTTCCCCAGTGGTAATATCTTTCAAAGCTGTATTACAATGCTATAACCAGAACATGAAATTAACACAGTCAACATACAGAGTAGTTCCACCACTACAAAGATCCCTCCTGGGGCCTTCTACACACCTCACGGGCTCTTTAACCACTCTGCTACCATTTCTATAATTTTGTTATTTCAAAGATGTTGAATATATGGAATCATCCATTAGATAACACTTTGGGATAGGTTGTCTTTTTTTTTTCCTTTCCATTCAATCTATTTCTACAAAGATTCATCCAGGCCATTGCATGAATCAAAAATTCTTTCCTTTACATTGCCAAGCAGTATTTCATGGTGTGGAATTTTATAACAATATTCGTGAAAGGTATTAGTCTGGAGGTTTACTTTTGTTTGTTTGGTTTTGTTTTGTTTTAGTTAGCAATTTCTGGCTTTTATTTTAGTAGTTTTACCATAAGAAAATAATTTTACACTAAGTTTTTATTAATTATATATAATTACTAGCAGTGAAAATAAACAGATATTAAATAGTAAGTTATATATTGAGAAACTGTACAAATTACCTTTAATATTTTAATGTTCTTTTACACTGATGACCAAAAAATATTTTAAAACTATCTCCAAAACTATCTGCTATTTAAACAAAACAATCTAAAAGAAAAAAGTACAATATTGTTAAATATCATCAAATTAACTGAGTCCTCTTTTAGAGGATTAAGAATGGTTGTGAAATTAATATTTTATTTACATTTTTATAAAATATGTCAAATATTTGGCTCTCAAAAGCAAAGTTACATACTTCATATTAATGGCCAGTTTAAAAGTCCTTTTTAAATGTAGGGAAAAAATTCAAGGCATTTTCCCTTGTTTAAGATATAATTTTTATTTTTTCCTTGTCGTACTGGGGATAGAACTCAGGGCTTGGCCTTGAGCTTGCAGGCAAGTGCTCTTACCACTTAAGCCACACCCCTAATTTTTTTGTTTTTTGTTTTTCATATAAGGTCTAGTGCTTTTGCCCCAGCCTGCCTCAGACTTTGATTCTCTCCTGTCTCTGGCACCTTCTGAGTAGTAGGATAACAGGTGTGCACTACCATGACCATATATGTGTGTGTGTATATATATAATAATAAATGTGACATAATTACATATAGTTATATATCATTATACTATAAAGAACTAGCTTTCAGAGCATAAAGGTCATTCTTTCATTACAAGAAGTATAAATTCTCAGCTTATTTTAAGTACACATTTTATCTGTGCAGTGTTTGCAATCACTGTAAGCCTGTTTCAGGAGCTGCTCCTCTGTATTAGAAAGTTCTCAATACCAGTGGCTTTTTCGAAGCACCCATCTATCATCCATGTAAGATACTTCTATTGCTGCTCCCTTCCTTAAGATCTTCACATATGGAAACAACATTAGAATTAATTTCCTTTTCTCATTACTCAAATCTTTCTCCAGGGCTTCATCTTTATAAAATAATCCAGAGCATTCAGAAATGAACCTGATTTTTCTAAGACAGGCAGCTGTGGAATATGGTATTCAAGATCCAACTTTGTTGTGCTCTTGCAATTTCTAGAGTCAAGTTGTACAAGGTGACTTGCCATCATATTCTGGATGCACGAACTCTTCTTTTCAAGTGAAAGGTACACTGATTCCATGTAGTTTGTTGGCAGAAAGGGATAAACCTAAATTCCACTGGCCCCAAAACAAGTTTCCTAGATCTGTAACCTGAGTTTGTACCACTTTTTGTCCTTGGTAAGGTTGGTTTTGTTGTTTTGTCTTTTCTTGGTTTTGGTAATTGGGCCCTTTTCTGTTAAGTTTTCTTTGCTCTGAAACCCACTTTATCTGATGTTAACATAGACATCCTTTGATTAAAGTTTGCATCATATGTCTTTTCCCATCATTTTACTTTCACTGCTTATATAATTATAGTTGAAATAAGTTCCTTGTAGTCAGAATTCTCACATACCCATTATCTCAGCTTTGGCATCTATGGATTATCTTTTCCATCTAGTTTGGGATCTTCCTGGTTGGAGGATAAGTGATCTTCCATTGAAATTTGGATGTTCTGGAGTGGTTTGAGTCTCTGGATCTTACTTGAATCTTGTTTTACAGGCTTACTCTGAAGCCACTGTCATAGGGAAGGTAAGGGCTCTGTAATGCCAGAGAGGTTTAAGTCCAGGCTCCCCTAGCGGTTTCCATTGACACACTGAGGTTTGTTGCCAGGAGGCTCCTGTCTGGCCTTTCCTGATTCTACCCTGGGGTAAGAGTGAGGCTGGGTGCCTGATTATAGCCTGGTGCATGTGAAATCTAGGCTCTCTTGGCCTCTGCTGGCATGGGTGGAGGTGGGTCCACTTTGTTTTTTATGGCATAACTGGAGTAGTATTTTTTCCTAAAATCTGTCTTGCTAGGTTGTCCCTTTCCTGGTCCTTTTGAGCTCAGTGAGTTCAGGGTACTCTTTTCTTCAGACAAGTCTCAGACGCACGAGGCAAAGGGAACCTAGAGGACTCAGCACTGTGCTGTGCATTGGGTCCTGAGGCCCCTAGCTAGGTCTCTGCCTTCTCTGTCTTCTTGTTTTTTATATATGTAATGTTCAGAGATTTCAGTTGTACTTAATTAGCAGAATACAGGAAAGCATATTTATTCCATCTTCCCAGAGGTTAAAGTCTCCAGACATCCTTATTTTGAACTGTTTTGCTTGTTTGTTGTTGTTTGATTTTAGATGAGGTCTCACTATGCTGTCCAGGCTGGTCTTAAACTCATGGAAGCCATCTTCCCAACCCAGCCTCCAAGTGCTGGGACTACAGGTGAATGCTACCATTCTTAGCTAAATTTGTCTTTAATAATTTTAATATCTTAAAACCATGGGAATCAAATTTGTTTTTCTGCTTTCACTCCTGGGAGCAACTGGGGCTACAGTGGGGACCAGGCTAGTCCTCTCCAAAGTTCCTGGCTTCACAGAGTTCTCAGGTTCGCTGTAGCTGTCCTGTGGCCGGAGTACTGAACTAGATTCATAGTTTAATCCCAAGGCTTCTATTGGCATCTGTATCCCAGGAGACCAGGGTCATTTCTCTCCAGTACTACCTGCTCTTTCAGCTCACCATTCATCAATCTCCTTTCTTAGTTTTTGTGGGGGAGGGGCTGGTATATTTAGAAGATTCTCCTGTAATCCCAAAAATGCTTTTCAAGAGCTATGGTTGTTGTAGCTTATGCCTGATCTAGCTGCATTGCTGTTAGAGGGCCCAAATCACTGATAGAATAGGAAACATGTTACATGATACTTGGTAGTGCTACCTTGAAGACAAATGGAAAAACAGTGTACCTCAGGATTCCCAGATCTTTGTTAAAAGGCCAGACATAAAGGTTTTGTTAACATTTGAATTCGTTAATGAAAGTTGTTGTTTTAGGTAAGTGAGCAAGATCATCAGAGTAATATTCAACACTTTGTAGTGAGCCTTGACTACTACACTACCATCACTTACTGCTTTGTCACTGACAAATGTTCTTTGTTAAACTGGAGAACAGGGCGTACACAGGGAAACAGCAGGGTGTGATGTCTGTGAAACATGGTGTGGCCTGTGCTGTGGCTCAGCTTCACTATGGGAGGGCAGCAAAAGCCTGTGAGCTCCTCAGGCCTTTCTCCCAAGAGAACAAAACATTTTCACCTCATGCTCCTGCAACCAGTTCACTTACAGCTCACCATATACCACAGGGGCATGAGAGATTTTCTGAGATCCAGTACTGCTTTATTTATGACTCTTCTTTTCTCTGTTTGTTCAGTAAAGAAATATAAAGTCATATTCCTTGATAAGCTAAGGATCAAAGTGCAGCTCTCCTATCCCAAACATTATTCTGTTCACAATTCTGACTCTTCTTTGAAACCATGTTCCAAGGATGGCCCTGAATTCTTCAAATAAAAACAATAATGATTGCTAGTACTTGTTAAGTACCAGGCTCTGTCCTAAACTTATTACATATATTTACTCACGTAATCCTCAAAACAATCCTAAACTACAGGTGTTTTGATTACCCTTACTGTATAGGTGAGGGCACTGAAACACAGAGAATAAAATAAGCTGGAGTCTCACAGTTAGAAAGGGTGGCACTGACCACTGATCCCAGCTGTTTGGCTCCAGAGTTTGCAATACCCCTTTGGTATGGACTCCACATGGTCAATACCAGCTCCAGTACATGTGATGACTGAGTGTAACAACATAATGAAATGGAGAACATTATTGGGGAAAACAGGTGAAACTACATATACATTTATTCCTCTAACAACAGTACACCATCTTTCCAATTTTCAAAATTTTATTATCAACTGTCTCTGCAGTTTGCTTGCTGTTATTAACCTGATTTTAAAAAAGAAAAAGGAAAAACCACCCAGACGGAGCAGAGCAATTCACCAAATTCCCCAGCACTATCATCAGGCTGGTTGCAAGTTTATCCTCTGCCACAAAGCAAGAGACAGTGAAGATCAACTTAAGAAAATAGCTGTAGGTATCCACAGAAGGAGACTCCACATTCATCATTCTTGCATTCCAAGACCTTAGAGCCCCCTTTTAATTGTCTAACTCTTTTTATAGTCTGAAAATGAGGAATCACACAAGTGAGATACCTCTTCACAGCACTGTTAAAAAATTCGATGAAACATGGAGATATCCCAGAGTTCTGTTCTCAAACATTAAAAATACTTTGTATCAGTATTATAAAAGGAATGTCCTTAGATATATTGTTATGTTCTAGAGAGTTTTGCTTCCCCCTTTTTGATGATTTCTTCTATTTCCTCTGAGACCTTTCCTTTATAGTCATTTGGTTCTATTGCTTTTAACTTCTCTTGATACTCCAGTGGCAAACCATTTTCTTTTGCACCCAAGCAAATAACCTAAAAATGTTAAAAACAAACAAACAAACAAAAAACCCTGTTAGTCAGGAACTTAATTAGTATACTACAGCTTTATTTGCATTGTCAGAATCTGAGATATTAGGTTTTGGATGACTACTGAATAGATAATTCTACAGCAGAACAGATTCAGCCATTCCTCATACTTTAACATGAATGCACAGGTGCTTTCAAAAAATCTTCATGAGCCAGACACTGGTGGCTCACCCCTGTAATCCTAGCTACTCAGGAGGCAGAGATCAGGAGGATGGCGGTTTGAAGCCAGCCTGGACAAATAGTTCACGGGGCTGTATTTCAGGGGGGTTGGGGGGAACCCTCACAAAAAAGGGCTGGTGGAATGGCTCAAGGTGTAGGCCCTGAGCTCAAGCCCCAGTACCACAAAAAAAAAAAAAAAAAAGCATCTTCACAGAATAGCAATCTTAACATGATTAAACATTTTTATAATAAAACAAAATAGAATTGACATGACCTTTCAAGAAAAACCACCATTCTTCATAAACAATGTAGCACTTAAGGAAGCAGCTTTGGTCTCAGTTCCATTGACTTCCTGACCTTGGCAACTGTGTTCAGGGAACTGTCAAATCTGTACCAGGCTAACTGCTCCATTCCAGGAACTTTGTTACTCTCTATGGTTCCATGTCCTGATTGGACCTACCTGCAGTGCCTAAGCTCTGGTTTCTAAAAAGGGATGTGGGGCAGGTCTCCATCCACATTCCAGGCTTATGCTTGCAAGAGTGGCTTACCTGACTCTGAAAGGCCTAGTGACTTTTCTTCTTCGCTGAGGGATGAAAAGCATTTTGAAAGTAGGAAATATATATTCCCCATAAAAATGAATCTTGTTGGTCATGAAACAATGTTTTATGAAGAAGAAAATTCTAAAAGTATATGCATAAACTAAATTTATTAAAAATACACTCATATATCTTCACTTTAACAAAGAACTTATTTGTCTAGAATTCTGAATTACATAAATTTATAAAAGATTTTAGAAATGTAGTCCATTATTGCACATGAACCTGAACAGTGTTTTTTTTCTGGTGCTGGGGATTGAACTCAGGACCTCACTCAGGCTAGGAAAGTGTTCCACCACTGAACTATATCCCCAGTCCTGACAACATTTTTTAATTTGCCATGTAGGTAAATAACTTCCATTTTTTTATTTAAAAACATTTTCAATTAAAATGATGTTTGTGTGGAAACTAAAATGCACAAAGATATTCTTTAGTTCAATCTCAGTGAAAAAAGTCTAAGCAATTTTACCTTTTTATACTGTGATGATGGAGGAGCACTTTCATAATTTGTCATCAGGTAACTGCGACAGTTTATTTCTTTCCCTTCTTGAGTTGAAACTTTAATTTCTATTACAACATATATTCCACGTTTAACCCCTTCTTGCCTGAAACCAGAACAGCCAAGTTTTAACTATAAGTGACCTAGACAATTTGGTTTACTAGGTAAAGTGCTGTAATCAAGTTGAAGTATAGAATTAGCAATTTAACTATATACATGGACACATTTGCTCCCTGCGTAGTGAACACATAACTCTCACAACATGAAAAGGACATTTAGCATTTCAATTAGGAAGCCTGAGACTTAATATTACAGTCAGATCTGTATCCAGAGGTTCTGTATCCACAGATATTCAACCAATCTTGTATGAAAAATATTCAAAAGTAAATTGGGTCTGAACTAAATACATACAAATATTTTTCCTTGTCATTATTCCCTTAAACAGAGTATAACAACGATTTACATAGCATTTACACTGTATTAGGTATTAAATTAACCTAGAGATGGTTTACACTATACAGGAGGCTATACATAGGTTATATGCGAATACTACACCACTTTATATAAGAGACTTGAGTGTCTGCAGATTTCAGGATACTCAGGGGTTCTAGAACCAATCTGCTGTGGATACTAGTGAATGACTATGCTTGGTACCCTTCTAACAGATCTCTCTAAATTTGTCCTTTCTGAAAACATGCTTCAATGTACTCATTTCTATCTGTACACTCCTGAAACGTTCTTTAGGCTACAAAAAAAACTGAACTACATTTTCTGACATAGAGAGAATATCCATCAGAGAAAAACAAGAAGACTCCTTTTTCCCATTTAAATGAGGCAAAGTATCAAGCAATTCAGATAAAATGTTTTTTCAAGGCTACTCTTTCTGCCAATTTTCTTTGTATTAAATGCTCTGTCACACAATTCAGAAAGTTCGTTATAAAAAGTATCAAAGCATTCCTAATATGTTGTTAAATACTTCTACAAATTATTACTTATTAACTGAATGACTTATTCATTGATTGAATTACTTATTGATTGATGCAACTGCAATCTTTTGTGTGGTGAGGAGGTACTGGGTTTGAACTTCAGACCTTGAGCTTGCTAGGCAAGGGGGCTCACATCAGTCGTGCCCCCAGCCCTTTACTACTTTAGTTATTTTTCAGATAGGGTCTCATGCTCTTGCCTAATTTCTATAAAAGACAGCAACAAAAAAAAAAAGGACCACTATCTTTTTACATAAGAGATTACAAACATCCACCCAAATCTCAATCTGAAAGTGTGACCTTTTAGATTTTTTAGTTAATTCACATTACTAATACTTCAGTGTTGATTCTGAAATATAAAGAACGTCTGCAGTACAACACACAAGTATACATCTCTCCATATAATCCACTTTCTGAATTATTTTTTAACTTATAATTAGAAGCCACCTACTCATCCAGAGAATTTAAATTGCTTTTGTTCATTTTCCATACTACTCCCCATACTTCATCGCCAGGACTTTGAAAAATGGTAGCTATACCTCCATGCCACCTTTCACTTGTTTTGCCTTGGAAATTGCCAAAGTCAAGCTTAAAATCCTACAAAGGAAACCAAAGTGATATGATCAATATTCCCTTGAACCCGAATTTCCCTCCTCAAAATGAAAAGGATTTACCTTGAACTCCATGCAATTAAACCATTCAATAAACTTTTGCGTTCCTTCTATGTGTAAGAAGCTGTGGAAAATACAAAGATAAACAGACAAGGATCCAAATCTCAAGAACTGTATTTTTTCATATTTTCCTTTAAAAATGAAACATATACTGAATACATACAGGCATCTTAACATTTAAAAAAAGAGCCTTAAGGAAAAAGATCCCAAAACTTTAATACTTTAATGTAACTGCTTTCATTTCTGCAAAGTACTTCCCAATGTACTTACAGGTACATATATTTTTACTTAGTGATAAGCTGGGTGATGGTTCCACGGGGGTTATAATATGTATCCTACCAGTATGTAGTGCCGTATTTTCTCTAAGGAAGCTAGCATTTGAGGTGATTTGTATACTTATGAACACTCCACTAATACTCACTAACTTATCTACAATAACCACCAGAGCAGCTAACATTCACTGAAAAATTACTGGGTGCTATACGTTGTGCTATTAGCATTATGTAGACTATCTCCTTTAATCCTGCAGCAACTTTTATTATATTCATTTTACAACAAGAAAAACTGCAGTGTAGAAACATAAGCAATTTACCTAAGGCCTCACAAGTAATGAGCAGTGGAGCCGTGTTTCTAGTTTAGCATATTCCACAGAGATGGGCAATCAGGGGATGAGACTCCCAGGGAAGACTAAAAATCCTTATTTACTTGTTTGGGTTAGGAAGATTTCTTTCCAGTTCTCCAACGTCTGGTTTCCTTAACAGTAAAATTTAAAAGGCTGGAAACTTTTAATGCTAAGATCCTTTCCAGGTTTGTACTTTATCCCTTTATTTGAGGTTTTCTCAAAAACCTCATCAGACATTTGAGGAAAAAGGTTGGTTCAAGCAACCAGGACCTTCAACTTGCATAGTGGGTGTTCTTCTAGCTCCAAGCCTCCCTAGCAGGACATCAGTCAATCTGATCAATGTTGCAACCCGCACCAGGGACTGGCTATCTGTTGATAAATCCAACAGACAATTCTCATTTTCCATCTTGCTCCACTTCTCAGCAGCTTATGATACAAGTAACCTTATTGATTCAAGATCTTATGATACAAGAGCCTTAATGACTCTCTTCTGAGTTTCAGGCTCTTCTTTAATCTCATTCCTTTCCAATTCTAGATCTTTAAATGTTGGTGTTTCTCAGGGCTCAGTCTAGGCCCTTTTCCCTACTCATTCAGTAATTTGCCTAGAATGATCTCATCCCTTCTGCAGCTTTAAATACTACCGAATGCTGGGCTGATGGAGTGGCTCAAGTGGTAGAGTGCTTGCCTAGCAAGCGTAAGGCCCTGAGGTCAAATCCCAGTACCACTAAAATAAATAACCAAATACTATCTAATGCTCTGATCATCTTAAAAATCAACCCATATCTGTTCTGAGCCTCAAAAACACTTAGAACAGGTGCTAGCACACAATAAGTAGCAAGCATTTCATACCCAGTATGTTCAAAGTGAACTTACAATTTTTCCCTTGCAAACTTATTTCTTCTCTCTCTAAATATCGCCATCATCTACCTGATTGTGTAAAAACTTGAGTCATCCCTCATATCTCCTCTGTTCACACTCAATCGCCAGGTTTATCAATGCTATCTCCTATCTCTCAAATCCATCCACCTTCTCCTGCCACCACCCTAGTTCAAGGTGCCAGTCATTATTGTCAGCATGAACTGCTAGCCCCACTTCAAACCCATTTTCCTTAGCAACCAGAATGAGTCTTCAAAAATGTAGGCTCATTCTGCATTTTCATTTGTTTCCATTCTGCAGCAGGTCTTCTCATAGCTCTTGAGGATCTGTGGTCTGGTTAATATGTGACCCTTTCCTATCTCTCCAGTCCTCATGCCACATTTCCCTTAATATGTCCCATTAATATGTGGTTCTTTTCCTGCCTCTCCTACACTCCAGCCACACTGGCTAGAAAATCCAGCTTCCTCTTTCCTCTGGTCCTTAGCACATACTGTTCCTTCAGCTCTGTTTACTCCCCACCTCACTCAGGTCTCAGCTTAAAAGTCACATTTTTACACAAGGCTTTCCTGAGCATCCTGGTCAGGTCCTCTGGTCATGCATTTTAGGGCACCTTGCATGTTTCATTTGTAAGACTGACCATACCCGTAACTGAATAATATCTGTTTGATATCTCTTTCCTCCTACTCTGATATGAGCCCTTGAACTTACTTCCTACATTTTCAGGCATTCCCTATTGTACAAGTTTGAGGGTAGAGAGCCCAACTCCCATTTTTGAAGTTTCAAAGGTCAGAGGCTGGTTCTTCTCAGATTTGCTTCCAGTCAGGTTGTGGTACATGGCCAAGACTTAACTGACCAGAACACCAATTCATAGCTTTGAATTAGAAGCTAGTGTTCAGAGTCATCAAGGACTTTACCCTGGTGGTGGATGACACATCGTCAGGCTTTTTAGGAGCTTCAGGGATGCAGCACAAATGGTGTGGGAATGCCTGATACAGCGTCTATGTTTACAAAGTTCAGCAGTGGCTCACTAGGCTGGTTCTGTCCTGTGACGCTATACTCCCTTTATGCCTGCCTGTTTTGTCAGCTTTGTACTTCTGCCTTTCTGGTCATTCCATGAGCTCTCCAACAGCCTTTCAACACTTTTTTTTTTTTTTTTTTTTTTTTGCCTAAATCAGCCCGTTTCTGTTGTTGCAACTAAGAACTCTGATAAGGTTAGCATAGATCACGTATGTTTTGTACATTATTTGTTTGGACATGTCTTCTATATACTGAGAGATCCTCAAGCTTACTCAATCACCTTTGTACCCCCAGCGTTAAGAGCCAGAAGAACATGTACTAAGTGGATGAATGTGCTGTACTGAAGAGGAATGTACAAAAGCTGGTTAAGTTCATCCAGCCACTGATTTAACTGAACACAGTGGGTCTTATGAAGCCCAGATTCCAGCTGTCAGGACACCTTAGATCAGGAGGGAAAGACAGGTAAATGGATTTTTGCGGCATCATGGGACAAGTCCTATAACAATGCTACTGTGTACAGAACAGCATGCACGGACTCCCCTGATTCGGGTAGGGAGGGCTTCGCGCGTGCACCTGAGTCAGTGGACAAGGCAGAGGAGCTGAGGTGCACAGAAGGGAGCAGGTGGAGTCCCCCGCGGGGGGTGGGGGGGGGACAGCTGAGGGCCTCGGGGAGAGGATACTCAGCTCAGCAGGACTCCCACACAGGCCATGGAGGCAGTGAGGACAGTGGGGGCGAGGGCCGGTCCCGGGAGGTGGGACCTAGGTCACCCTAGCTGTCGTCCTCGGGAAGAACCGCGTCCCTGGCCCACCATTCCCCAAGGCAGCAACTTCGGGGAGCCATGTCTCTCTCGCTGGGCACGCCGCTGCAGGGCACCGGCGGGGACACTGACCTGCAGGCGGGCCACGCAGCAGAACGCGGCCGAGGGGTTACGGAGATGGATCCTCTCCGTGAGCAGATTGCTGCCATAGGCAAAGTATAGAAAAGTCTCCTCCTCCTCGCCCGTGCCGTCCTCGCAGCCGGAGTTCGCCATGTCCCAACAAACGCCTGCACTGCCGGGGACGCGGAGGCGTGCACAAGGGCAGAGCGCCGCAGCCAACGACACCTGGCCGGTGGACTCAGCACCGCGGTGGTGGGCTAGAAAAAAGACCCGTCGCGTGGGCCGGGCGTGTTGGGACGAGCGCTTTTCTGATTGGCTGTCGGCCCGCTAATGTGAACTACCCTCTCTGATTGGCCAGTTCCCATCGCCTCCTCTCCGCCCCTCTGCTAGGACTCCGCAATATTCTATCCTGAGGTGACCCGGGACCGATTCCTCATTGGACTCGCTCCTCTGACGTTCGGGCCCTGCTCAAGATTGGCGGGTGTTACAGCCAATGGGTCTCGGCTGAGCGTCGTGGCCCACGGCTGCTTTCTCGCCTACGGTTTGCGCACGTGTGGTTCTGCGGCTGTTGCTGAGCTCTGGGGCACTGTGGTCAGGTCTGAGGCGGAAAAGCGTTCTAGGTCACGTTCCCTCATCCTGGAGCTCTCCGGGTCCTGGCCTAGAGGAGCCCCGCCCCCACCATCAATCTGACAGCTTTGCTAAGGACGCCGGGGGGAAGAGCTTTGCTCTAGGAATGGGGAACCTGAGGCCTGGTTCAAGCTCCCACCTTATTTCCAGCAACCCCTGGTCTCCGTTTCCTCCTTTAAAAACGGGCTTGAATTTTGTTTTTTATACAGGGTCTCACTAGATAGCCCGACTAAGCCTCCAACTCTCAATCCACCTCCCCAGTGCTGAGATTAGAGGTGTGAACACCATGCCGACTTCATACTGTTAATTCTGAAATAAAATGACTTCTAAATACCACTCCCCACTAAAAGGTACCAGGGCTCTTTGGAGAAAGCTCTATGCCAGGTCAGAAGTTGGGAGTGAGTAAGGGCTTTATGGAACATCAGAAAGTTGGAAAGAATCCCAAGAAAAATGAGATTCTTTCCAAGGAATGGCCTTGCTGGCCAAAATCAGAATTAGAACTTGAGCACTGAATATAGTCACTATAGCTGTGTGCTGTGGTGTACACCTGTAATCCCAGCTGCTTCGGAGGTAGAGCAAAACAGATCATGATTGGAGGCCAAGCCAGCTTCCCTGCTCCTACCACCACCAAAAAAAAAAGTTAGCGAGCACCTGTATTGAAGAGCAAGCGTGGCATGGTGGTACATGCCTTTAATACCAGCTATAGCTATGCAGCTATGTAAAGTGGGCCAGCTTTACAGTGTGTCTCCCAACAACAGGCATAGGTAGAAAGATCTGGGTCACAGGCCCAGCCAGCCAGGGCAAAATAACCAAAGCAAAAAAAGGCTGTGTGTGTGTCTCAAGTGGTAGAGAGGTGGCAAGCTCAAGGTCCTGAGTTCAACCCCTGTACTGCCAAAATATAAAATAGCCACTGCAAACTATAAACTTATCAGAAATATTAAATATATAAAACTTGGACTGGGGTATGGCTCAAGTGGTAGGGAACTTGCCTAGCAAGCTGGAGGCCCTGAGTTCAATCACCAGTACTTCTTCCCCCCACCCACCCCAAAGTAAAGCAAATTAAAAGAGAAAAAGTGAAAGCAAACCTTACTTGACACTTGATTGTTGGTGACCATTACAGCCACTCTTACTCTGGAAAGAGGTGATTGAATAATATCCCATTCCTTCTGCCTTTCTAAAAGCAGCTGTATTCCAGGGGAATCAAATGGCACCAGCTGATGAGGAAGAAGTTCTCTGTATAAAAGTATGCCAGCTAAATAAAAGAAATAATAGAATTAGAAGGTCACCATTTTGCAGCCCCCGGTGAAACAACAGATTCATGCCAGGATCATCCATGAAACGTTTTAGTGAAAAGGCTGGAGGGAACAGAATATTCGTAGGGTGCCGAATTATTCCCCAGGATTACTACTGGGCATCGGAAAAACAACCACCATGAGGGAAATCTGGCCCTTCCTACCTTCTCCTAGATCAATCAGATCACCAATAAAAGTGGACCAGCTTTACAGTGTGTCTCCCAACAAGAGGCAAATAAAACTCTAACATCAGTTATGAAATACTGTTTCCAAAAGTCTCTAACCTCAAAGTAATCAAGCCTTTAATCTATACTCTTGTATCAGAAGTTACAACTATGGAAGAATAAAATGACACCAAGAGAAACCCAGAACAAATGGACATCCTATTGAACAAATGGCTCTGTGTCATTAAAAATGAAAGTAGCCCAGGTGTGGTGGTCATGCCTGTAATCCCAGCCACTAGGGAGGAGGAGACAGACAGATCTTGGTTCAAGTCCAGCCAGGGCAAAAAATTAAGGAGACCCTCCCCCCATCACAACACACAAGCCAAAACAGCCAAGCATGGTGGTACATGCAATGTAACCCAATAACTCAGGAGGTGGAAGCAAGAGGATTGCAAGTTTGAGGCCAGCCTGGGCTATGTAGCAAGACCCTGTTTCAAAACAATAATAAAAAACAAGACTGAGATGGCTATTCTAGCTTAAGAGAAACTTAAGACATAATAAGCAACACAGTAGTTTGTTCTTGGTTGGTTCTGATTTAGTAAGCCAGATATGGAGGTATTTTAGGGACAGTTGAAAAAATTTGAACTTGGACTGGGTAGTAGATATTATAGATAGTAGTTGTTATTAGGCAGGATAATGGTATTTATTTGAAGTGAAAGTTTGTATCTTTTAAAATAATTCAGAAAAACAAAACACAAAATGCTTAAATGTTAAATGAAGTGACATATATGCAGATGTTCATTATATTATTCTAGTTATTCTTTTCTATATGTTTGACATATTCATGCTGAAAGTAGGAAAAAAGATTCTCTGTGGCAAGCACCTGGCATATGGTGATCCCATAATAAGCAATAATATTGTTATATAACCTGATAACAAGAAGATTCATCCCTCCTCCCATTCCCAAACAGCAAGGCAGAACCTGAAACATGCTTGGACACTTCAAGGAGCAAGTTGCTTGTCTTGGCAAGTCATGCTTTATTTCATGACATATTCTCAAGGTCAATGCTTCAGAGCATTGTCATTTAAAATGTCCTGTTTGCAAAAAACTGAAACTAGATCCATGTACATCACCCTATACCAATATTAACTCAAAATGGATCAAGGATCTTAATATCAGACCACAAACTCTAAAGTTGATACAGGAAAGAGTAGGAAATACTCTGGAGTTAGTAGGTATAGGTAAGAACTTTCTCAACGAAACCCCAGCAGCACAGCAACTAAGAGACAGCATAGATAAATGGGACTACATAAAACTAAAAAGCTTCTGCTCAACATAAGAAATGGTCTCTAAACTGAAGAGAACACCCACAGAGTGGGAGAAAATATTTGCCAGCTATACATCAGACAAAGGACTGATAACCTGAATATATAGGGAACTTAAAAGACAAAATTTTCCCAAAATTAATGAACCAATAAAGAAATGGGCAAATGAACTAAACAGAACTTTCTCAAAAGAAGAAATTCAAATGGCCAAAAAAACACATAAAAAATGCTCACCATCTCTAGCAATAAAGGAAATGCAAATTAAAAACACACTAAGATTCCACCTCACCCCTGTTAGAATAGCCATCATCAGCAACACCACCACCAACAGGTGTTGGCGAGGTTGCAGGGAAAAAGGAACCCTTTTACACTGTTGGTGGGAATGTAAACTAGTAAAACCACTCTGGAAAAAAATTTGGAGGCTAAACATTAAAAAGCTAAACATTGATCTACCATTTGATCCAACAATACCACTCTTGGGGATATACCCAAAAGAATGTGACACAGGTTACTCCAGAGGCACCTGCACACCCATGTTTACTGCAGCACTATTCACAATAGCCAAGTTATGAAAACAGCCAAGATGCCTCACTACTGATGAATGGATCAAGAAAATGTGGTATCTATACACAATGGAATTTTATGCAGCCATGAAGAAGAACGAAATGTTATCATTCGCTGGTAAATGGATGGAATTGGAGAACATCATTCTGAGTGAGGTTAGCCTGGCCCGAAAGACCAAAAATCGTATGTTCTCCCTCATATGTGGACATTAGATCAAGGGCAAACACAACAAGGGGATTGAACTTTGATCACAAGATAAAAGCGAGTGCACACAAGGGAGATATGAGTATAGGTAAGATACCTAAAAAATTAGCTAGCATTTGTTGCCCTCAACGCAGAGAAACTAAAGCAGATACCTTAAAAGCAACTGAGGCCAATAGGAGAAGGGGACCAGGAACTAGAGAAAAGGTTAGATCAAAAAGAATTAACCTAGAAGGTAACACACATGCACAGGAAATTAATGTGTATAGCTATCCTTATCTCAACTAGCAAAACCCGTTGTTCCTTCCTATTATTGCTTATACTCTCTCTTCAACAAAATTAGAGATAAGGGCAAAATATTTTCTGCCGGGTATCGAGGGGGTGTGGGGAGAGAGAGGGGGCGGAGTGGGTGGGAAGGGAGGGGGTGGGGGCAGGGGGTGGGGGCAGGGGGGAGAAATAACCCAAGCATTGTATGCACATATTAATAATAATAATAAAAGAAACTGAAAAAAATAAAATATCCTGCTTTTAAAACGCATTTTAAACACCTAATATGTATTTGTATTTATTATTTAATTTTTTTGAGATGAGATCCTGCTATGTAGCCCAGACTGGCCTCAAACTCACAAGTCTCCTGCCTTAGCCTCCTGAGTGCTGATATTATAGATGTGTACCACCAAGCCCAGCAATTTAATTATTTTAAAAGATATTTATTTTCTCTCCCTATTTTTCTTGCTAATTGCTTCATTTTATGGAAATTGATTTTTGTCAACACTATTCTGCAAATAAAAAAAGATCTTAAGTTAAGCACTGATGTTTCCTTAAACATTGAAAGCCTTCCCTCCCTCCATTCATTTAGCCATCCATATAGATTGCAGCATGCCAATGTGTATTGGCAGCAAGGGTAAAGTTAAAGGTAAGGCAGTAGATGGTAAGGTTAGTTTTATTTTTTGAGTATTTTTTTTAAAATGTAACCAAAGCCAGGTTAATATTTGTTAACATTCCCTGAGCACTCATTAAATGCAAGACACTGGTCTAAACTCTTATATGTGTGAACTTGCTTAATCCTGAAAGTGGCCCTTCGCAGAAAGTACTAATATTGTCCTGCTATG